GGCGGGCTTGGCTTTGCTTTGCTTTTTCCACCCTATACTTCTCAAAGCCTAATCTACGTTAAGCCATGGTCATGTTTCCTTTCTCTGTTTTTTTCTCTCCCTAATGTTGCTTAGAGTTTTTCCGTGAGCACCAACGCCAGTTGGCGGAAAGTATTCCGTGCACGGGCTCTGTTAGATCTCGACATGCGGGCATTTAAGTCACATGGATCCCTAGTGTATGGAATTCGCATTTCTTGATCGACATGTGTGATTGGCGCTCGGTTTCATAGAATCGGGTGCGGCGCGAACATTTGGTTGGTCACCGGATTGATGACCATCGAGGACAAAGAGGAAATTCGGACACAGCACATGTACTCCTTGGCCCTTAGGATCGAACTTGAGTGTGAAACTATGTTTTGTGTGTGTCTCCAAAGCAGCAGATCATTTTTCAACGAAGTCGTTAAGAATGATTGATCAAGAGAATCATCTGAATAGAGGATCTCTGGCTGCCCAATAACTTTGAAAGTTTGTACCTGCACAGGAAATTGTCCGATCCCGCTTTTTTAAAGGAGGCAGCAGCTTGCTTAGGTTGGAGATCTCGTGCAGTACGAGCTTTGACCAGCTTGACGGTTTGACTTTTGGTCGTGACCGAAGCTTGCTACATTATGTGAACGGGAATTGGGCATAATATCGTTTGGCTGCTTCTTCCACCATGCGGGCTCGGGTTTATCCTCGCTCAAGCTCAAGGTATGGGTTCGAATCACCCACGTCTTATGCACAGGTTCTCTCAATCAAATCTCTTATGGCGGCTCGGTGCGTAATGTTGGGATGTGATTTATCTTCCCCTCCGACAGGAAGACACGGGGTCTAGGGATGTAACAGAGAAGGGCGAGGTGCTAATTATAGTGAAATTATCTGCTGGACATCATCATAGTTTAAGGGTGAAGCAGAATAAAAACTTTGTCTTTCGATTTTCCTTTTCCTCACTTTTACTCTCTGTTTTCTTGTGATTATGCGCCAAATCCTAACACGCACGAGATGTTTGGATCTCGGTTCGTCTTTGTTGGACGAATCGTCTTGTTCGGTTTACGAATATTAATGAAATTTCAAAGCCCTTTCAGAGAAAAACGAGAGATGGTTGGAGGCAATGGAATAGTTAGGGTTTTTCACTTTGGAATAGTGGGATTGTTGAGCATTGGCTTTCACTGACCAAATTGAACTATAGAGAAAAGGACTGCACACGGACCTATAGCATTGAGCGCCATGATTATAGGGTATTCTCGATCGGTGAAAGGTTGGTGGACTAGATAGACCTGTATCGCAGAGAGAGCGAGATGAAAGTGACTTGTTATTCATTGGGGACGTTGCTTTTTGGCCAACTTGCTCGCCTAGCCTACAGTCGGACATCGAAAAAAAAAAAAACTGGGTTAATTGTTCGCGGCCGCGAAAAGCCTCTTTGCGATCGCGAGTGATTGTCTTCGTCAAGTTCGAAGTTAATTGCATGAACCTCGACCATGCAATAGTAAACCCTAGCTTGTGCAAGAAGCATGAAAGAATGGTGGAGATCATCGTAGCCATTAGATCGGACAAGACCCAAGTTATGTATTTCACGTCATGGATGACTACGACTGGCCCGGCCCCGGCAAGGGCTCCCCTAGCCAGATCTAGCGTCGCCCACGCCAAGGCAACGTCCAATGAGGCCGCCCAGGCAAGGTTAGCCCATCCAACCATGGCTAGTGGCTGGCCCTATGACCGGTCACCGGCAAAAGGAGGAGGAAAGAATAAAAAATTCGAAAATAATACAATATTATTAAAATTTATCCATGTCAGCACTGGCGGTACCATGTAGGCTAACCGATCTCCACATTAGCAATATTCGACAAAAATTAGCCAGAAGGACTGCCACTAAAACAAAAGGTTTATGACTAAATTAACACTAACGTAATAGGTTCATGACTACTCTGAAACATTTCCCCATAAACAAATATGCCCTAAGTTCGGTACACAAGAATGCTTTAATGGTCAAATTATTCTAAGTCGGTAGAATTGTTTGATCTCCTATAACACGCCTCTCGTCAAATCTTTTCCTTGACTTAGTACCTCATTACATTCACGTCCGAAGTGAACGAATTCATCACTCGTGGGTCACCACATTGATTCGTATTGTTCAAATCGTGACAGAATTTAATGACCATCAAATCAGAACTCACCAGGCTCCAATGGTCATGTGCATGCTCGTGCTGATGAACAATATATTGACCTAATTGGGTGGAAAATTGAAAAGAGACGCGAGTGAAAGAACTTGGAAAACGAAATCGCACGCATCATAGTGAATGATGGCAAAAATAAAATGTCATCTTCAAGAAGAACGAAAGCCAATCGGGGTCTTTCTCAAAAGCCATGGATCTCTCGATGCTTTTTCGTCCTTGTGGACTTGATGGAGAGACTAGGGCATGCTAGTTGCCATCTTTGTTAGGTGCCGATGAGGAAAGTTTCGGAAGTGGCTATACAGCTTGGTCGACAATCACTTGCTTTCGTTTTCACGCGAAACAAACGGAGCCTAAGGCATGCGAGTCGCCTTCTTGATAAAGTGCCGATGAGGAAAGTTTTTGAAATTAGCTATACAGCTTTGGTCAACAATCACTTGTGTTGACCTCGACCCATCGTGATCGTGTGTGCATGTTTTTGGTGTAGAAACATGTTACATCATGTGTAGACGCATTGTAGGTAATTGCAGAATGGAACTAGGAACTGACATGGACTGTGTTGGGGTCTCGGTGATATAAGGAATTAGGCATGTGTCCTTGTTGCGGAAAAATTGTCCAAAATATCATAAACCTATTGTATGGAGGCCAATTCAGTCCTAAACTTTTCAATTGTGCCTATTTAGTCCTAAATCTTTTAATGATTTGCCAATTCAGTCCTACACCTTCTAATGATTTGCTAATTTAGTCCTAAACCTTTTGATGATTTGCTAATGTAGTCCTTCGGATCAACTATCTAAATGATAAGTTCAGGTTTAAGTTGGCAAATTTTCAAAAGGGAAAATGACACAAATAGTCCCTGAACTTTGACCAAATGTGCAATTTGGTCCATGAACTTTTAATTTGTTCAATGTAGTCTCTAAACTTTAACCTACTGTTCAATTTGGTCCATGAACTTTTGATTTATTCAATGTGGTCCCTGAACTTTTAATATGTGTTCAATTTAGTCCTTGAACTATTTGAAAATGTTCAATATAGTCCTTCCATTAATTCAAGTGCATGGACTATATTGAACATTTTCATATAGTTCATGGACTAAATTGAACACATATTAAAAGTTCAGGGACCACATTGAACAAATTAAAAGTTCATGGACCAAATTGCATATTAAGTCAAAGTTCATGGACTATTTGTGTCATTATCCCTTTTCAAAAGGTTTAGGACTGAAATTGACTGTGTTGGGGTCTCGGTGATATAAGGGAATTAGGCATGTGTCCTTGTTGCGGGCTCCTACGTTTGATGATCTCTCTTGAATATTATGTTTGACCATTGCCCTTTATATTTACAGGTTCATTTTCCTCTCCTGTTTGACACGAAAGATATTGGCCCAAACCAATGAAAAAAAGGAAATTTGACATTTTGATAAGGAAAGGTTTTTGTATTCTTGTTCCCTATTTTCCGTGGAAGTGACATGCATTTCACTCTATAAAGTCCACCCGATTTCCCCCCAAGAATTTCTTCTGTCATGACTAATTAAGCCGAATAAAAATGAATCGAGAGCATCTAAGATATGTCGTTGCGCGAGTTACGATCCCCATTGCACCCTGTCGAGTACATCAAGATTGATCTCATTATCGACGTCTCTTGTTTACTATATAAAGAACAATCGTTAGTTGGCCTCGATGGTACACGCTTAAAATAACGAGTGCTAGTCACTACTTGAAAATTTCGAATAAGTGAGATAACCGAACATTTTTACATCTAAAACGATACGAATTTTCCTTCAAGAGAAGGGTCACTTTAATTTATTTATTTTTTAGAAAAATCGCCCGCCAAGGTTTAGTCTTTTGTTTTTCTCCCAAGAATATGAACCAAAACTTTATTAAACTTTATGATATTAGGATATATCTGGATGTTAGAAACAGTAAATGCTTGTGATGGATCCAGTTATGCGAAAGCCCAGCCCATTCCAAACTTAGTCCCATCCTTCTCTTAATGGGCCTAATCCAAATCATGGGCCATGTGAGCTCAATATTTGGGCTTCATATTAGACAAAGTAATATCTCATGATGGATCCAGTTACTCAAAAGCCCAACTTAATTCGAGCTTGTTTGTTGTCGTTGAATGTCCGTTGCAAATGAGAGAAATATTCAGTGATATCAGAGCGCCGTGCCAAATGTGCCGCACACATATTCAATCTGATCAGCTCCCGGATAAACACATTATGATTAAATAAAACAACATGAAGCATCAGTTGAGCGGCAATCAATCATGCTCTTCGTTAGTTTCGAGCGCACCTTCGGACTGTGCTCAATAGAGGTTTCTAAGCGAAAATGGAAGAGAGGCTTGCTTTTCTCTAATGGAGTCCATATGAAAGCACAAAGGTTGTCTCTCTCCTCATAATGAAAACCAAAAGATGGTTGTGAAAAGAGTTTCCTCATAAGGGCATTCGATTTTTTTTTCCCAAAAAACCGCCGTGCATTTATGGCTTGCAAGGTCATATTTTTACATTATTTCATTTAATCATAGTACGTCTGTCACGTGTCAATCCATGAGTGGATCTGACTAGATAAATGCGCGTCAAGTCAATCGCTGACGTGGCCCTCTGATTCCAACGAATATTTTTTCGTCGCAAAATAGCCTTTTTAGGCCCATGATTAGTTCGCCAATTGGTCCCAATTCTAATTTTTATGGGCCTCTGACGGAAGTCTCGATACAGGCCCAATAATTTAGTTGGGCTTCATACAGGCCCATTATCCAATTATTTGGGCCGTTGAACGGAATCCCGGCTCGATCTTAGCTTTCTTCGTCAGCGACCCGTTTGGTGAGAAGAACGTGCCGGCGAGCGATCGACACCACGAGGATCGGAGCGATCGATCGGAAGGGAAGCTTCGCCGTGCGTGTAAGCTGCGAGGATCTTCTGCGATTTTCCGGCGAGCACGATGAGTTTCCTCTTCGGCCAGAGAAAAACTCCCGCAGGTGCGCAGCTTCTGCTTTGCTGCTTCGTTTTCTGTGTCGAATTCATGAAAAAATTGCACTGCGAGCCTAAGATTTCATGCGCTCGTTACTGATCGTGAGCTGAGCGTGATCGATTCTGTGTAGAAGTTACTGCAGGAGGAGGAATCTGTTGAGGATATGACTCTTTTCTTGTGTTGAGCTCGTGTAAGGGTTTGATGAAATCGGACTGTGTGTTGGCGAAATCATGGTTGAATCACTGTCCGACTCTGCAATTTCAGCTTTGGTTGATTTTTTGATCATGTCTAGCGTCTCTGTAGTTGGCTTTGGGTTACGTGCAAAAATCCGTTCTGGATGACCGATTGATTACCATTTGTGCTGTGTTGCGAGCGGGTATTACGTTATCGAGAAGCTTGGCTTTCTTCAGGGATGACTTGATGGCGATGAATTCGAAACTGTATGCTGTAAGATGTGGCGAAAGATGTAATTGATAGGAGCGATTCCTCTGCTCTTCTTCGTGACCATGCATATAAGTCTGCTGAATTGAACAATCTGGAGTTGCCATTCGGTTTAGCTTTGGCAGTATGAATCTGGTGACGTGGAAGTTGCTTCATTGTCGTGGATCAGATCCATATAATATGAAATAGCAAGTTGCACTATTTGTATAAAGCTAGTAGTCGTCAATTTACCTTCGAGCTAAATAGCATTACGGAGCCTCTTGGCCTGAAATAGCAAGTTGCACTATTTGTATAAAGCTACAGTTTTTGCCGCTGTATAAACCTGGCCATTGTGATTTATGTGAATTACCTGCTCTACCTGCTCTAGTTGGATTTCCGTCTCTGCAGACGTTGAATCTCATGCATCCAATTTGCCGGTGCTAAAATCACTATTATTGCTCTTAAAGTCTAAGAAAACATGTCAATATTTCGGTGCAGAACTTCTGCGGGAAAATAAGAGGATGCTAGACAAGTCCATTAGAGAAATAGAAAGGGAAAGGCAAGGTCTTCAAACTCAAGAAAAGAAGTTGATCACTGAGATAAAGAAAAGTGCCAAACAAGGACAGATGGTATGACTCTATTATTCATTGCTTTTATGTAAGTTTTAGTTCTTCTTTGGGGTAATGATACCGCAAGTACCTGAGCTTTTGTCTGCTCTACAGTTGAATACTCAAGCTTTTTTTTTTTGGTTCAAATGAGCACCTCAACATTTCAAATTACGGATGGATAATGCCAAATTGGGCACTAACACCTTTAGATAGCCGTTAACTGTCCATATTAGCATCCGATTTGGTTTTTTTGAAATGATGTCACGTCAACAGAGATGTATTGGACGACCTAGATCGTCCAAGTAAGTAGTCTCTGTCTCTCCTCATCGCCCAACACTTAAATGGAGATGTCATAGTTTGTGCTTAGTAAGTGAGCCACGTGGCTAATTGGGGTTAGTTTTTGCTAAGCAAGTGAGTTCTGTAAACAAAATCACATAAAAAGGCAATTTATTTAACCAAGGCTTGACACTAAAAAAGTTACTTGATTGGAAAAAATAAAGTTTAGGTGCTTGATTGTAAAACGGACAAAAGTTCAGGTGCTTGCAGTGTCATTATCCTTTCTTTTTTGGTGGCTGATTTAAATCAACCACAGCGCACATTCCTTGACAATATTTCTGCTGCACCGCAGTTTCACTTGTGTTCACTTCTTTGTGTCTCCATTTGCGAAGTTATCAATCTATTTTAGGAGATGGTGAACTTAGGCAGATGAAAGAATGATACATATTCATGATAAATGTTGAAGATATCTTTGTCTGTGCTTAGGAAGTGACTTCATTTCTCAATCTTCCCCAGGTTGGATCTTCATTATTGACTTATAGTTTTGATCAAACAAATAAATATCAGTGGACTTGAAGAATTGGTGTAACTGCAGATCTATCTGGTAGATCAAAAGTATATTGGGAACTTGTTACACTTTAGTGGAAGTAGCTAAACACATATGCAACTGATACCGCACTTGTATGAAGTAGTGTTACTTGAAAGTGACTAGCAAAAATTATTCATTTTCCAAAGCTTCCTCTCCAGATGTCTGGTTATGTCGCTGTTTTCTTCATCTAAGTCATCCTCTCATTATTAGGTAACTGTCCTGTTTAATCTCGCATTCATCACACAGAAGAGGAAGCTTTGCCAGCTCGGAGTTTCTCTAACAATCTGTCTTCTTAGTCATTGCTCTTTGGAAGTTGTTTATCTTTAGTGCTTAGAAATGTTTCAATTGACTATGTAAAATGTGCTTACCAATTCAAAATAAGAATCAGCCGAACAATTGCTCTCCTTTCAGGGTGCTGTGAGAGTAATGGCTAAGGACCTCATCCGAACTCGACATCAGATCGAGAAATTTTACAAGCTGAAATCACAACTTCAGGGTGTAGCTTTAAGAATTCAGGTCTCTCTCTCTCTCTCTCTCTCTCTCTCTCTGTGATGTGTGTGTGTGTGCAGACAAAAATTTGTAATCAGAATTATATAGAGTATTGGTTAAATTTTTGACATGCGTGGTGACTGGACTGCTCCTCAAAGGCAGGCACAGCTGCACAGAATATGTTGTAGAACTTATTATGCCATATAGCTTTTTTATACTTATCATTTGAAAGAAGATATAGCCTTAGATCAAACTTCTGCAAAGGTTTATGTGGGAAAAAAAATTGATGTGGCAATCATATACCTGCATATGGAAAACATCCGTACTTTAGCACAACTGCGAAGAAATGAGAGTAAAAACTAATTATACTGTCGGCAAACTTGTAAACTGCTGAGTTTTCTTCTGCCCTTTTTGGTATGCATACACGTTTATACACCTTCCGGATTTTCTAAATTTTTCAATATATTCTTTTAGACGCTGAAATCAACTCAAGCAATGGGTGAGGCCATGAAAGGTGTAACCAAGGCAATGGGGCAGATGAACAGACAGATGAACTTGCCATCGTTGCAGAGGATAATGCAAGAATTCGAGAGGCAGAATGAGAAGATGGAGTTGGTGAGCGAGGTCATGGGAGATGCTATAGACGATGCCATGGAAGGCGACGAAGAAGAGGAGGAGACCGAAGAGCTAGTTAATCAGGTGCTCGATGAGATTGGTATTGATATGAACTCAGAGGTAATCCAATTCCTCGTCTCCTTTCTCTACCCCAGCATATTGTGATTAAGGAAATTACTTACCAATGACTATAATTATCCAACACAGCTCCCTGGGAGTGCTAATTTTTTTGCCCCTTTAAATTGCAGCTTCTAACTGCACCCTCAGGTGCTGTTGCTGCTCCCGCTGCGACGAACAAGGTTGCACAAGCCGAATCTGCAGGGACTGCTGACAGCGGAATCGATGATGACTTACAGGCGAGGTTGGATAATCTACGAAAGATGTAAATAATTGTCGAAAGGTAAAAGATAGACAAACATTCGGAAGTATGCTTGAATAACGAGATGAATTCAGTCTCACGCGCGCCGCTTCTTTGTAGATATATGGCTACAAGATGTTACCCAATTTTAAGATTGTAAAACGGGCAGGGAATGTAACGTACCCCTTTCAATTATAAGCAGAAATTCTTAATCCTTGTGCTAGTCAGAGGCCTTATCGCGCACATCAGGAGAAAGTTATGGAGGTCTGGGAAGACTCTTATTTTTGGGGAAGAAGGAAAACTGAATATCTAACGAAGAAGGAAAACTGAATATCTAACGAAAAGAGCCTCCTTTCATTCTTTTGCAGAATATCCAAGAAAAGAAGCTCAAAACGCAGTTAAATAGGTGTGCAGAAAATCATCCATGAAATTGAATTTTAGAGAAAATGACAGGCTTATAATATAATTTTAGGTGCTTTTCTGGGTTTAAATTCTCAAATCACTTGCTGCGTGGATAATTTTTTAAAAATATTTATTATATAAAATATCTTTCCATATTGACATCCATATCACACTCCGACGTTGTCTACAATAATTAAATTTTTCCATGCGTTCACGTGGGCATTCGTATATTTTATTCCCCATCATACTTAGGCATAGTACGTTGGTTATGTCGGTTGAATTAGATCGGATTTGGTATCGGAGGACCTTGATTAGAAAGTGCGAATATAAAGATGAAAATTAGCTTTTCCTTCACTGGATTTCGTTAATGCTATCAAAGCACACAACTTGATCTATTGCTATGAGAAGTTCAGTTCCTCGAGGAATTGTGACTCCTAAGGTTTCTTGTTTTTTGGTCGAAAACTCTTAAGGTTAAGAAGACTATTTTTGTTTAGATGATTTCAAATGAAAAAGAATATCATTTTCTCTATAAAGTAACAAATAACTAAGTATGATCATGTCCCCAAGTAATTTGTTTTGCAAATAATCGTCTCTTCTATTATGATCTTTCCTTCTTCTTTTTTCGTAATTAATCGAACGGGAAGCACTAATCCGTAATCAAGAGACGGATTATAAAGAAAATCAAATTTACTGCAAGTGAGAAATCTTCAAAAGAAATATGTTCTTTATTTTGTGGGAGAAAAGGAGAACTACGTCCATCCTTGAATGTTTCGTTGGATTTGTTTTCCCCATAATAAAAGATTAAGAATTCAAAAAAATATAAATAAGAGAGACTAGGATAAATAAAATAATTTCTTTGCATTATAAAAAAGAGATAATGACACAAATATAAACTTTGGTCCAATATGCAATATGGTCTATGAACTTTTAATTTGTTTAATATAGTCCCTGAACTTTAACCTAATGTCAACATAGTCACTAAATTTTTAATTTATTCAATATGGTCCTTGAAATTTTGGTATATGTCCAATGTAATCCTTGAACTATATGAAAATGTTCAATATATTCTCTAAATTTGAATAAATGAAAAGACTACATTGAATATTTTCATAAAGTTTAGGGACTAAATTCAATATGTATGACAAGTTCAGGGACAATATAAAATAAATTAAAAGTAGATGAATCACATTGTATATTTAGTCAAAGTTTAGGAACTGATTGTATTATTTTCCCTTATAAGAAAAAAAGCCGTCATCTTCTTGACCATCTCCACCGGTTTGTCATGCATGAATCGTCGTCACCAAGACCAACCGGCCATTGCTCTGCTAAAACATTACCTCCGAATCAGCAAGACCGTTGATCAACTGAAACAATCTCACGCTCTCATTCTCAAAACCCTGCCTGAACCAAACGCACATCGTTGCGAGAACGAACGTCTCCTGCCCCTTTTGCTCGTCAAGCTCCTCCGGTTTCCTGGCGACAACCTTCGCTATGCACGCCACCTGTTCGACGGAATACCCCACCGCGAGACCCAGTTCCTCTGGGCTTCTCTCGTCCGTGCCCACGTCGCCCGCGGCCAGTTCATCCGGTGTATCTCTTTGTACGCTCGGATGCACCGCACGGGCGTGTCGCCGTCGGCGTTTATCTTCTCGTCGGTGCTCAATGCCTGTGCCCGTGTGCCGGCCCTCTTGGAGGGCAGACAAGTCCATGCGAGAGCACTGAATCTTGGTTTCTTGGGCAACAAGATTGTGGAAACTGCTCTCCTGGACGTGTATGCCAAATCCGGGGCCATATCTGATGCGAGGAATATCTTCAACGGTATGGATGGGAAAGATGTTGTGACATGGACCGCAATGATACGTGGGTATGCCAAGTTGCGCATGATGGGGGATGCGCGGCAGTTGTTTGACGCGATGGAGACCCGAAACGACATGTGTTGGACGACCATGGTCGCAGGGTATGCAAATCGTGGTGACATGAATGCGGCTGGGGAGTTGTATGATAAGATGCCGGGCAAGAATTGTGTTACTTGGCTTGCTATGATTGCGGGTTATGGGAAGATTGGTGATGTGACTAAAGCGAAGAGAGTATTTGATGAGGCACAAGTGAAGGATGCGGCATGTTGGGCAGCGATGTTAAGTTGTTATGCACAGAATGGCTATGCAATGGAAGCTCTGGATATGTATAGGGAGATGAGGAAACTGCTAGTAAAAATCAATGACGTGGCCATGGTAGGGGCTATTTCTGCTTGTACACAACTTGCAGACATGAAAATGGCAAATGAACTGGCTGTGCATGTGGAGGAAACATGCTGTAGTGAGTTACTTTCGTACCTTAACCATTATTTTGATTTTCTGGTTTTGCTGACGTATCTCACAGAATAGGCGAAAACAAATCTGTCAAGAAGTTTTCATATTTCAAGCGAGGAAATTTTCACTGCAGTTTGTAAACTTTGAGGACATGACAACCATGCTAACAAGTATGCTTGGTAAATGGACTTCTCACAACATGAATAGGAACGCCAAGAAAATGAAATTTAGGGTATCGTCTTTTATTAGCACATTATGTGCTGTCATTGTTTTGGCTGCAACTGAATGCTACATCTGTTCTGGCATTGTTATAAGACAGAAGTCATCTGGCTAACCTGATATTGTAGCTGACTTTGCTAACCTCTGACATGAGAGTATCAGTTGAATATGCTTACAAGGGTTGTGAGGTTAAGATCTTGCAGCGTGCAACTACGTAGAAGCCAGAGCCTATATTAATGTTGCTTTAACTGGTTTGATGATCCACGTCAATTTATTTGCATGATTTGTGATTTCAGGAAGGACAAACTTTGTATCTGGTGCACTGATCAACATGCATTCGAGATGCGGAAATATTGATCAAGCATGGAAGGAATTTAGAAAAATGAAGAACAAGGATGTGATATCCTACAGTTCAATGATTAGAGCCCTCAGCGACCATGGGAAGGCTCTTGAAGCTCTGGAGCTGTTCCAGGAGATGCTAAAAGAAGGGATTGAACCGAACCAGATCACATTCGTTTCTGTACTTAGTGCATGTAGCCATGCTGGATTGGTGGAAGAAGGATTGATGTATTTCGGTTGGATGACAAAGACTTTCGGTATTGAGCCATTGATCGAACACTACTCAACCATTATCGACCTCCTTGGAAGGGCTGGCCAGCTTGAGAAGGCATTTGATATTGCGATAAACTCTCAGGGCATCTGTGATGCCGGTGTCTGGGGTGCTCTACTAGGAGCTTGCAGGGTCCATGGTAATGTGGAGTTGGGAGAGATGGTAGCGAGAAAGTTATTTGCGATCGAGCCTGAGAATGCTGGGAATTATATGCTTTTAGCAAGTATTTATGCATCTGCAAATAGATGGGAGGAGGCAGAGAGAGTGAAATGGCTGGTGAGTGAAAGAGGAATGAGAAAATTACCCGGAAGTAGCTGCATATGAATGTGGATATATCAGTTTGACAACATTTTCTAGGATATCTCGTCAGAGAGGCATCCTGTTCTTCTTCCCTTTATCATCGCGGGAGGTTAAGAACATGATTACTTGCTGACTGCTTCCTCGACAGTGCAGGTGATTAGTTTAGTCATCATGAAGCGATAATGGGAACAGCCCCCCGGATTATCCTGGCCGGAGCCTGTCGTGACGGAAGAATTGCAAAGTTGGCGATTTGTCAAACGTCGATGCATTCGTTTTAAGTCCAACTAGGACAATGAGTGCGTATTTATGACCTGAAGCGATAACTCCGAAGGATCAGTGGGATCTACACTCAGAGATCATGTGTTTCCCATAAGCAAGATGCAGAAAGCTCTAGCTTCCAATCCGTGGAATACGGCACACTTGGCATGAGACATGCTTCCTATCCTAGAAGATGGAAGAGGATGGTTTACTGCAGAGAATGTAACAATCTGTGTCTACTTGATTGCCTGGGCCTCGACAATTTCCCGTCACATGGCTCGTGCCTAGGCTTATGCGTAAGCCCTTCGATCTGAGTTTACTCTCTGAAGAAACTAAACACGAGAATTCTTTTCATTAAACGCATTTGCATTTGCAGACTTTGTCGAGTAAACTATCGTTATCGTTTAGGGTTAATCTTGTAAAGTTTTGTCGCTGAATAGCATCAGATATCTCTGATGCTTCATTAGACTCACAGCATACCACGTGATCCTTCAATGATAACCATTTTACAAAATAAGATTCAAAAACACCAAACAATGAGCTGATGTCTTCAAAGATTATCTTAATCTTGTTCCCATCACGATACCATACAAGAATCCTGGACTAGCTCTGAGGATTTCACCTGCGACCAAAGGTCAGAGAGAGTTCGCACTTCCAAGAAATTCAATCGACTCTAGAGATTCCATCTTTCGTCGATGCATGATGCACCGATGGGGTTTCTCACGAAAAGAAGCGAAACTATCAAGCACTTCGAGTTACTATGGCAGTTCAATAAGCGACCAAAATTTCCCGATGACTAATAATTCTTGGCACAATGTCCTGTTGGATCCCTTGCTTTGCAAAATTTATGTCTTCAAAGGAGCTTTCTTCTCTCTATCGGATATTCGAGAAGGAACATTTGAGTGCGACTTAAATCTTCCCCTTCCTCCATCTTCCTTTTCCTGTTCAACACAGATGGCATTTAGCTCAAGTTTGTGTTCGTCTAGTTGCAACGACATTCCAAGGCTTGCTAGCCTCGTCCATGGACATGGAATCAAGTGGCAGTCTAAGAGTGCAAGAAGGCAGAAAGGAGAACAGGACGGCAGAGAAAGTAGGAACTTCTCCCTGACCTTTTTCTTGACAATC